TGCCCGAAACTCTTCTAGCATTTCAGCATAATGTGTGCATGTCCTCAAAGTAACCAGAGAAATACGGAGCCACAGCTGGGTCATTCCTCACGAAACAAAAACAGCAGGAGACGTTGCGTCGACCATTCCATCCGAAATGGCAAAGCCCACAATGGATATTATCAAGAAATCAAATCTTGCCAGGTTGCATTGTATACGCCGGCCATTGCACCTGTCCAACAAGTGTGTTCAAGTTGTTCAAACAAAAAGGTGAGATACTTCCCGGGCTGCTACCCAATCGAAAACGAATGCCCTCTTGATCGGTGGATACTGGTGGTACTTCATGAGGTAGGTGAGATTATGTGGTGCACCCTTTAGTTGCACATGTCCGAAGCTACAAATAGGTGCAGCAAGGTCAGCTCAACAATTTCAACCCAACAATCGTCCCAGAAAAGGAGGGGCAGCTTTGACAAAGTGCTTGCAAGATCCCCCAATGTTCAGTCCTAGTGGTTCGCCGAGACTGTCAAAAAAAACACACGTGAAACCCAGTGAGAAAATGTGCCCAAATCTCATCTATAGAACTCACAAAACTGTGAAATGTGTCTGACAGCTCTGCAAGACAGTCTGACAGCTTTCCTCAGTCCGAACGGCTGACGGTGGTGACACCGGGAAGGTTGGGCCTTTTCAGCTGGCACTTCTCGCAGCTCCGCCAGGCTCGAGACGTTTGCTGCTGCCATGACCTCCTTGGCCACGTGGAGGCCATAGCTCACATTTCGAGGGCCCCAGCCTCAACTTGAAAGGAGCACTGAAGTTCACTAAAGTTGGTAGATCCTGTGCAGCCAGGGCTCCTCTGTTTGGAGGTCCACCAAAGCAAGGCCCTTGAAAAGGCTTCAAAGCTTCAATTGATTTTCAAACTATTCTGTTCGTGTGTTGCATCAGTTTCATATCACCCTCCAGAAATCCTCTGCCTGACTGCAAAATAGCCCGACGAAAAAGGCCCTTCGCTTCTGGGGCCACGGTCAATGTGCAGGTGGCGTAAGCTCCAGAGCTTTGGCCAAACACAGTGACACGATTGGGATCACCTTGGCACATGCGTAGATGACATGCTTTTGTGTAGGTGACTGTACAGGTGTGTGTATCTGTTAGCTCTTGGTGATGAAGCTCCGCCAATTGCTGATCTCGAATCCTACACCGATGTCATTATACACACTTGTATACATAGACAAGGCTTCCCACGATCACTATTTGCTTTGTAAATGTCCAGTACTGATCTTCTGAGCTTCCCACCCTTAAAGTAGGGAATGAACCTGCAGAAACAGGGACAAGGAAGGTCAACGGAAAGCTCAATCTATGCAAGCAAGGTACAGCTGCAAGTTTTGCAATTGTAAGAGTGGTCAAACATGATGTAAGGCAATCTCAGAGCCAGAAACTAGTAAGGCCCTCGCTTTTCCTTCGAGTTGCCTTGTAAACAGTGTAAAGGACTTCTTGATTTCGGGGTTGGTCACTTGCCCAAAAGCAGCAGAAAATGCAGCAAAACGGATGATTTTGCGAGCTGGCTCTCCATGAACCGTGAACCCTACTGCAGATCGCACTCTCGCCGCACTCTCGCACACTGCCCTCTCCTCTGAATCCATCTTAAGGCAGTGGCAATGTCGCGGATACCATTCCTAAGATCTCTAAGATGCCGCAGATAAACCTGGAAGTTGATGTCAACACTACCTGTCACTCCAAACAGCTCCAAGGGTCATCCCACCATTGCCAGGCCCGTCAAAGCTCTCTGAGACCAAGAAGCCAAGCGCCCCAAGGCGGTATGAGACTGTGACAACCTCGGAAAAGCGAGAAAAGCGAAACGAGGTGCGACCTCAAACACCGGCTGCGAAAGGACAAGTTTCTTTCGGCCGACCTCCTACTCAATTCAGTAAGGCGACGGGTTCGCTACTAGGCTAAGTAAGCTACTACCTACTGGACGCAGGATAGCTCACGCTCGCACTAATGATTTGGTTCCTGGCTTTTTATATAGGGAAACTTACAAATTAGGCCGAAAAGAACAACAAACTTGCTGAACTCAAACGTTTTACCACTAGAACTGGAAGACTCTAAGAATGATTTCAGGAAGTCAACAGCTCTGAAAACATGATCTCTGCCAGCAGTGCTATTCCAAGGAGCAATGACCCCGTGTTCGATGGCAAACTTGGAACCTTGGCTCCAAGTTCTTACCAATCTACAAAGCAAAGGTCCCGGGGCTTCACTGTAGATTTGCAGGACTGATTTCGGGGCTTCCAGGGGGGTAGCTTTGCCTTGAGACATTCTGAAGAACGCCTACTATGCCTTGCCATTGCCTTGGCACACCAACCCACCGACCCAAAACACAACTCTGCGTCAAAGCAGCCGTTAAAGTAAGGGTTGCCTGCATATCCACTGCAGAGCCCACCACCGAAGTTGTAGACCATGACAGGGTGAGCTTCGGCTGTTTTGGAAGCGGGTCTCCAAATGTTCCTTTCCAACTACTTGCGAGACCAAGAAGGGAACCGGCAGAACCTTTACACAACCTACTGCGAAAAGCATCTCTGCTTGCTGAGGCTGGATCAAATGTAAGCAGTCTTCACTGGGTGGTGGTGAATGATCGGCATCTAATGGCATGGACCGTGGGTCGCCCAAAGGGTTGTTGATGCAAGGTGCTCCAGTCCTCCGGGCCTCAATTGCTTGCCCAAAATTCAAGCGAGATGGCAACTTCAATGACCAAATTGGGACTACGGATCCTGTGGAAGTTTGGAAACACATTTGTCAAACAAAGATGATTTGGCAATCCAAGATGCATCAAGATGGCCAGCTGGCCACGGAGTGTCATAAAGCTGTGCTACTGCAAACCGCCGATTCCCCAACGGTGGCTGGGCATAAGGAATGCCACCATAGCGTTCCTGGGCAGTTTGGTTTGCTTGGACTGTTTGGACCTGAAGCGTGTCATGTCCAATGAGTGACCACTCTAGCTTCTTGTGTAAAGAAGAGCTCTTTTAACATGATGCCTTCAAATTAGGGTTCTAGTGAAACTCAATGCCTTTAGCAGCTTTAGCATTCTTATCTTTAATATGCTGTACGACGCTGTGCGATGTCCAAGACCAAGCGGAGCCGAGCAAAAGGCCCTTCCATACATCCAGACAAAACGGCAACGATGCCTGTGCACCAGGCTTTCATGCCGCTCTCATGGCCGAAAACACTGGCCTTGGTATATTCCTGTGGGCCAGTCCATTGTCAGCTTTCTTTCCCTTCTTTGAGTTTTTCTTGGCTTCTGTCTACTATATAAGTACCTGTCACTTTCGCCGGCGGCATTTCATTCCCTTGTGCCTTCAAGATACTTTGCTAGTCTTCAAGGGAAATTTGCAAGCTTGGTGAGCCCAGCAAATCGCTGTGGGACTGGCCTTGTGGTGCGCCAGTTGGCTTCGGCTGAGTTCGCACGACCAACCCATGTGGGAACTGAGCATTGGCTCAGTGGTCCTCAACTGGTGCTTTGGCTTCCATGAAAACCGTGCTGCCTTGCACCAGCAGCCCATTTCCTGTTGCAAAGAGTGTACAGTGCGAACATTGCAGCTTGAGTGATCGCTTTGTTGTCCGGATCAAGATTCAGGGATAAGAAAACGCGAATGTCTCCCCATTTGCAGATGTTCACAACTTTGGGCCTTTTATATATCTGGTGTGATCCATCATTCAATGCACCACATTGCATCTTCAAACAACATTCAGCCCCTTTCCTGCATCTGTGCCAGGGCCTCTCTTGTGAAAATAAACACTTTTCGTCTGGGCATAAGCCGAGCTGCAACACCCTCAGCTGCAAAGATGCCCTCAGCTGTCCCCAGTGGAGTCTGGACGACAGGCAAAGCTCCAACCAGTGGCCTTAAAACTTCGCGCAGTTTGCGAATAGGTCGTATGTGGTAACAGCCGTATCGGTCTGGGGATCCGGACAAAAGGCCGGCAATACAAATGCTCCATATCCATGGCATGCTAAGCTTGCCCATGTCAATTCACTACAGATTCCTGTGCACCTTTGAATCAAGAACACTAAGGACTCAGGACCCACTTCCAAGCACTCTACCTCAAGAACTGAACAATGTCGACTGTGGTTCCTTTCGAGAGTTGTCAGCAACAGCTGCAGCCATTGATGAGCAGTCTCGGTAGTGGCTTCCAAATTATAAAAGAGCTATGACAGACCTAGGCGTTGCGACAAAATGTTCATCTGTGGCAAAAGAAATGCTAGGCACAAAGTCATCCGATAGGGAAAAAGCAACATGTAGCTGGCGCAGGTTTTCTCTCTGTCCATAGCTTTCTTGTTCATGGATTAATGTCCAAAACCTCATGCATGAGATCATGGCCGTTCATGGGCCGCCTTAGCACGTAGCAGTCAGGTGGGTCAATGTTGTGATAATAGTCCTTAATCTCCTGTGTCACCTTGAAGCCAAACTTCTTGTAGAACTGCAACGCAGTCTTGTTGGATGTTTGCACATGGAGATATATCTCCCGGACATCTTTGTCCTGACACTCCTTGCTCTGTGCCCTGTCCAATATCCACTGAACAAGTTGAGATGCCAGGCTCCGCTGTCTGTATGGCTTGAGGATTGATAGCGTCATGATGTATAGGGCTTTGCCACCACCAAGGACTTGATCTCTATCCTCAAGTCGGCAGCAAATCGACCCAACAAGCACGTCTGCATAGAAGCCAAGGCGACAAAAGTCGAAATACTTCACAAGGTCCAAGTAGAACTGGTCTTTGTACTTCACCGGGAAGGTGGCTGTGTTTAACTTCTTCAGCTGGCCCATGTTCTTCTCGGTGAGGTTGCCCAGGTCAAGCTTCAATGCCTTTTGAGACGTTTCTCCCTCCGCCATGGCTCCAGTCGCTTTGAGCCAAGGATCCACTGGTGGCGGTCGAAGGAGTTTTCGCAGAACATGTCATGTGACTCCACAAATGGCATGGGTTTCCACATGGTTTCTCGTTTGAACGTGCATAATATGCAGAATTGTGGAGAAAGCACCTCTCCCAGCAAGGACTGCAGCTTGTCATGACCGTGTCGGTCTCGTTGTGGTTCTTTCCGATTTTGTAGCCACACCAAATAGCCTCCGACCCGATTGACAACACTACAAAACCATACAAAACATTTTCGCTATTAGGTTGGAGGCCATCGCTATTGGGTTGGAGACCATCGCTACTAGGTTGGATGACATTCCTATTAGGTTGGAGGCCATCTTTTGTGTTTAAAGCGACTGTGGTCAGCCTCTTACAGGAGCTGCATGCAATGCATTGAGTTTTACATTCAATTTCCAACGACTTATACAAGCGTTTTGTTTCACCAAGTTTCAATGCAATGCAATGATGGCATGTTTTTAGTTTTGAATCGTTTTGAAATCAAGTTTCTGACCCACACTGAGAGTCACAGCATTAATGATGGGAAAAAGCCTTTCACCTGGGCATGATAACATTATGTACTCCTGTTCCATGGCTAGCGCATGCTCGCGCCTTCCATCGCTCGTGCATGCACATTGGCCATGGCCAGTTTGTGGCATTGAGCTTCGGCAAAGCCAAGGGCCTGACGCGACGGGTCTAGTGGACTCTGCGGCCAATTCCTGATTCGTGAGAAGTTCGACCTGCAAGGTGAGCGCTTCACACTGGACCTGCGAAGAAAAAGCAATGTGAGACGATCAGATGCAGTGCAAATTTACAAGTACAAAGTAGTATTCAAGAAAATATTTGAGGTAGAAGGCCATGCTTGTCAGATGTTTTGCGGTCTGTTGTCCAGTTCAAAAGGCGTCTCTTGGCACCTGATGCCACAAACGTCTGAACTGCGCAGAGTGATGTGCCTGGAGATGGAACGAGGCCTGCACGAATCGATGCACATGTGTAGCCTACCAAGCCACGTGTGTCAATGGGTTTGCCGGCCATTTGTCATTCCATTTGTCTTTCATTTCATTCAATCTCAATCCATCAGGGTCTGTCTTCAGGAGAACACCTGTCATGTGTGTCAGGTGATATTAACTCCTCAGGAAAAACTCTGATTCACAAAAGTGAAACTGATTGGTTTTGCAAAGGAGAATATAATTTCCCTCGCAGGAGCGACACCTGCCGGTCGCTGAGGGCATCAAACACTTTTTTAGGTGGTGCTGCTCCTTTCAGAGCTCTGAGAAGAGCAGGACGATGTTCGCAGAGATACAGTTTGCAAAGGAGATGCGTGATAAGAAGTAGACGTAAGCAGCGTTGTACCTGCGCTGTGATCTTCCTTGGGTGCTTCCCAATTCTCGGGTCTCCAGTCTTCTGCTTGTAACGCTTCGCAATCGCGAACCACCCGCAAAATATCCCGGGACCGTATCAAGTCTATTGGACGATGGCCACGAGAATTTTTCACGTGCAGATCGCCTTTGGCATTGAGCAGGAATTCAACAAGCTCTGTGGCGCTGAACAAGCATGCAAACCCAAGGACAGTCGTAGTCTGCTCAGCCATGCCCACCATCAATATTGAGCTAGGTCTTCCAAACTGCAAATATGCCCTGCTGAAGAGTTCAGCAGCGCGGAAGATCCCACCAGCTGTGGACTGCGCGTTTATGTCAGCTTCTGCTTCCACAAGCAGTTTTGCTATCGACAAGGCCTCAAATGGCCAAAGAAAGATGAGGAAAGAAATGCTTAAAACTTGAACCTTAATACCAGTTACTAGATCTACTGTACACAGGCATAGGTCCCAAATCGAGTTTTGCTTGGACGTCGTTTTTGAAACCTACTGCTAGCAACCAACTTTACGGAGTCTGGCATCGGAGACAAGCTGGGCGAACAAACATGCTGGGAGACAAGTTTTGAGACATGGAAGACAAGCCCAAGTTTGAAGCAGGCGGTCGGTTTCCACCAGAGACTCCTGGTCTTAGCCTGGTCTAAGCCGGGCGGCGCCGACACCGCACGTTGGAACCCTCACCTTCCCGGCTTTTGCGCGCAGAACTACATGGGCTAAGGCTGCGGCAAAGCCGTACTCCGTGTGTTCTTCTGCTCGTAATCCGTGTGATCCCGTGTGACCCCCCTGCATCCTGTCGTCTGTCCACCCAAACTCGGCTTCTTCCCGTTGAGTCTCAGACTTACCCAGCCACGCCACTCCATCGCCCGAATTCTTCTAGATCTAATCTATCCTTATGAAACTTGGTGGTCGCGTGGGTCGTGTCTTCACGGACGGCTTGTTTATGCTTGATGATTGGCTACTATCACGTCCAGGGTTTTGCTGGGCCAAAGGCCGGACGTGGAGTGTTTGATAATCAAACCTTGCATTGTATGGCACAACCACTGACCTACATACAACGAAGGAAAGGTCGTTTTTTGAGGAGGGCCTCGTTCATAGCCCAGAAAATAGAGGTCAGCGGCACACGGGCGTTAGAACGTTCTATATTGATTTACAAAACGAGGTGTACACTGTACGCCTCCACGACCAAACAAGGCATCACTTTTACACAAGCTGACTATTTCACTGGAGTGTGGAGGGAGATTGTGGCTGCTTGGCAGGGGTGGCTCTTCCCCTCCCCTCTTCTCTGTTGCCTTGTTTGGCGGCGCATGACATGTTCCAGCTGAAACCCATAACTACAAAAAAAAGAAAACATATTTGTTCAACAGCTGTAAAACTCTTGAGCAGCTTCCGGGAAGCATGTGGATTCGAAGTCGCATTCATCGCAACAAAGCACAGCGCATGAGGGAAGCCAAGACCACGAGCACGCAATGGACCATTTGGACTGGCACGAGACTCCAAGAGCTTGGCAATGACCTCTGGCTTGGTGGGCTCTCCACTTGCCAAAGCAAGAGGGGAAACATGGAGCGGTGCATACTGTCCATTCAAATCTGCCCTAAAATTGAGCAGAATCTGGACATCCCTGGCAGTCCGACAACATGCCAAAGGAGGAACTCCTGATGCACTAAGATTGGGATCACTGCGGGCTTCCAGGAGGAGTTCTAGCACCTTGGGAGAACGCCACCCTTGCAGAGCTGTCAAGTGTAAAGGTGTCAAGCCTCGGACAACCCCGATTTCTGGCATTCCTTTCACAGGCTTGTCCACAGGACAACAGGCCTCCAGAAGCGATTTTAGCAACTCAGCATCCCCTGCAAGAGCAGCACAAACAACAGGGCCAAGGCTTGATGCTTTGCTCTTCTTCAGGGACTCGTAGCCAAAGTCTTCGAGAAATTGCTCAATTGTTCTTCGCACAGGACGTATTCCGCACATCACCTCCCGCCGTGCCAGAAAATAGCGATAGAGGTCCATATGCCCCTCACCTTCAAGCCAGCGTAGTTGATGGGACAATGCTTGCTCGAAAATACTTTTTACCACTGGTTTGTCGCCAGGGTATGAAAATTCTCCTTCGTGGGGCAAGCAGTCCACCCAGTTCACGGGTCTTGCAAAATGAGCGACATCAGAGGCTGTCACGATGACATTCGGCATGTCCTTCAGTTGTCAAAGCCTTAAACTTGAAAATGAAACTTGTTAACCAGCCTGAAGAAGAAACACAGAGGACACATCAGGTGTCTAACACACGAAATACAAAGCATCCTATTGATGGTTCAAAGCATTGTCCTGGTTGCCCAACATCATGTTGCAAAACAGCTCAGTTCTGCACCATCCTCTTGTGATCCAGCTGGCATGATTACACATTTCTCCGGTGTCATGGTGTCGTAGCGGTGGCACCAAGGCCACAAACACTTGGCTCGCCTGAACGAAAGAGGGTAGAGACAAGATGAATTCTTCCTGCTCTGAAAGTCGTCTCGGTCTTGCTGGGCTCCGGTAGACAAATGTGCGAGTCGCACGTTGACGCTTTTCGAGACTGACTTCATCATCCTCGTCTTCGTCACGGAAGGTTTCTACTTGAGGAATGCTGGCCCAGTCGATCCAAAGAACGGCATCCCGAATCTTCGCCCGCTGTGAGTTTGAGAGAGTCTTCACCTCTCCAAAAAACTGCGAAGCTGCATCGTTTGTCACTGTGATTCTGCCTTCGCAGATCTCCACGAGAGAACGCTGTAAAACTCTCAGCTGATCCCCTTCGGGATCTGGGTGCATTGTGGAAAGCCATTGATGGGAGACAAAAATGCAATAGTGAGACACGACTCGCCGATGCAACAAGCCCATTTCTGCCAACTCTTCATGCTTTGGCAATGGCAGCTGCATTTTGACAAAGTCTGAAACCTTCAACACCCACATGGCAATGAAGGGTTCAATCTCCTGATATACTACATTGGATTGGCAGCCTCCCATCCTCTGGGTAGCCCCTGACTACTGCTAACGTAACTAAAAGTGAAACAGTTTCTACAGCTGCATCTTGAGTCCACAAACTTGTCAAGCGGTCTCAAACATTCCCTCATGGAACCAGCGCGAAGAGTGCTGCCAGCAACACCACCATGAAAGAAACAACACTTTCAGTGAATTGGGTCAGGCTTTTCTTGCCCACCTGACTCATATTGGGTTCACCCGCCTGCTCTTGCCCCATGTTGCGCTTCCGAGAGCCAACCACCTTTGGGAGGGAGGGAGGGAGGGAGGGAGAGAGAGAGAGAGAGAGCGGTATATATATATATACATATATATTATATAGATATATATTATATAGATGTAGAGCACCCGCAATCTGCACTTGGGCACGCAACAAAACAATGGCTTAATGCTGCATCTGGTGTGCATACATCCACCCACCTCTTAACGTGCTTGCATGTCTTGTTTGGATATATGTTTGCTTTGCATGTCTTGTCTTGATTTGTTTCTTTGCCTTGCAATCATGGGTTTGTCCAAGCAGACCACGTGTGGGTAGGTGGGTCCTGAGTTCTCTGCTCTTCGCGACTTTTTTGGAGCTCTCCATGCGACAGGTATGGGAGGAGATGGCCAGCAATCGATGTTTTCGTTGCAATGCATTCACCGCGTGCTATCTTCGATCTCTTTCACTGTTGTCATCTTTAAATATCGGCCCAGAAATGCATTACTTTGCTCTCAACACACCGTGATAGAGCAGCATCTGTAGTTGACAGCCGCAAGGCGTCGTAAAGCATAAAAATGTGCTGTCAACAAATCAAGACACACGACTTGTAAGGACATGAGTGGGGGATTTGAAGTTAAGTGCACCAAACACATCAGTCATTATAGCAACACTTGATGCAGCAAACATATTGCAAACTGCAATCCACCAAGCAGCGAACTTGACCAGCATCAACATCCCCTCGGAACACAATGAAATGCTCTTGTGGCTGCGTTAGAAACCTGCACCGGTGGCAAATTACCATCTACGAGCCACGTCAACCGATATATAATGAGTGGAAGAATCGATGTTCCACGCGATTTCAGTGCATCACCACATCTCTTGTCGCCATTGCATTCATCGCTATATAGCTTCAGCTAGGGGCTGCCATTTTCGTTTGGGAACGAAAATGCATATCCTGCATCGTGAGGTGTGTCTGGGAGACGAGTGGGAATGGGAGAAAACATTGAAAAACACATGGTTTTCACATATCATCTGCGAATTCGGCATTCGTCGTCATTCCACCGATCCAATTTCTAGTTCAAGACCCCCCTCGGCGTGTGATCGAAACATGCGCTGATCCGCTTTTCATGGCAGCAGGAGCCTGATCGTTTAGCTTGCCGCTAGGTGGAAGAGTCATTGGACCCTTGAGACGGAAGATCACGGGAGCGAACCATCGCCCGTACGAGCGATGGAGTTCCATACGATGGATCGCTGGAAACGGTGGCTGCGTATCGTGAAGAGGCCATTCAGTACCTAGTGACCTTCGAATACAAGAAGGGCTACATCGCAGGGCAGCGGCTTTTGAAAGAGCTTGAAGGACATTCGAAACTAGCAGTGAGAGCCATGACCTTGAAGAACCCGTAATGGCTGAGCCAGCCGAGGGGGGGTCTATCTCCTTTTGGATTTCCTCAAGAGCGTGGTGGCGAGACCCTCTACCTGAGGCTTCTCGCTTTGTGACCCGTTTCCTTTATGGGTTACAGAGGAAGAAGGGGGAAGGCATGACTAGTTGGTGCACTCGCCACTCCGAGTGCCTGTGGGAGGCTAGTCAGGCCCTGAGGAAAGTGCAAGCGGGACTGTGACAAAACCACACCAATTTGGAAGCCTTCATGGGAAACCAGTGACACTGACCGAGGCAGCCAAAGGGGTTCAGAGCAAGGTCCTTTTCATCGACCGGATGAGGACGAAGATGGAGCAGATGATGGTTGGTGGGGAAACCAATGGACGACTTGGTCGGAATGGTCGACAGGTTCATGGCACTCCAAAGAATATGACCCGCCAGAGTCTTGGGATGTGTCCACTTTCTACTCCTTCATCGCAGCGGCTTGGATGCTAATGAGAGAGCAAACATTTTGGCCGCCATCTGTGGGGAGTTCAGCAGCAAGACGGTGGGTCGGGCCTTTTCGAGAACAGTGATCCGATGACGACCTCATCAAAAGAGATCGACTCAAGACTTCAAGTGCTCTCATGGCCGAGGAGGACGATGAGGACTTGTCAGCTCTCATGGCCGACGACGCTTCGGGAGTGAAGCATCTGGATGCTCAGAGCCGTGAGGCCTATTTCAACGAAGAGGACAAGGTCCAAGAAGCTCTAGCGGCAATTCGCACGTAGAAGACCACACGTCGTGAAGCTCGCTGGAAACAGAAGCGGCTAAAGCTTGGCCGGGGATACTTTCCGCCCAAGCCCTTCCAGAAGAACTGTGGAGCCCCACATCGAATTGCCACCACAGCAAGCTCGAGTGGCTCAGGAGAAGGCAGCCGAGATTGCGTTCCTGGCGGGAGTGAATGAGTTTGAAGAAGCAAGCCTTTTTGGACAAGAACAGCCAGCCTTGACCTTGGAAAGTGTGGTTGATTCGTGCATGGGGCTAGTGGATTCAGGGGCCACCGCATCTCTGGGTTGGACTGATGCTCTGGAGAAAGTGCGAGTGGCAAATCTTCAGAACCATGGGGAGACGATGTCAGCAGGAAGCCAGTGTTCAGATTTGGCAATGGAGCCAAGTCAGAATGCCTGTCCACAGTGACCACGGGACTTGGTGCAGGAGATCGTCGTTGACGCCTTGAAGTACACGTTCATGAAAATCCGGGACAACCGGTGCTGATCTCAAAGAAAGCTCTCAAGGCTTTGGGGGCGGTGCTGGACTTTGAGACCGGTGAGGTCATCTACACGAAGGTGGATCGAACCAAAGTCGTGCAGCTTCAAGAAGCACCAAATGGTCACCTGCTGATGCCGTTGACAGGCAATTTACTTGATGGAGCCAAGACGCGTTCCATCCCTTTTAACTCACTGTTTGAGTAGGGAGATGACTCCTTTGACGCTATGGACGGAAAAGATTCCGGTCCGGTCCGGTCAAAGGAGTGGTAGCGGGTAGCGAGGGGAAGATTGTAGAGCTGTGCGATCATAGCTCATCATCGAACAATCAGTTAATTCAGTGTTCTTCACTTTGTCAAGTTTGTGATCTTTTGTCAGTAGCCAACGGTAGATGCAATTTGTGTGAACATTTGGAGGACAGTCATGGTGAGACACACACAGCGCCTTTTGCACATTCGAGCATTTCTCGCCGTCTACCTGTGTCAGATTCCAATCACCATGCTGTTGCCAACAACCAAAGCTCAGTGTGTTGCCAAGCTTCAGGAGGAAGGGGTGAATGTTCCTTCCGAGTGGACACTTCTTCAGATCAAAGCGCACTATGCAGAGATCATCGAGACTCAGAAGCAACAGGGCAATTCCAAAATGCTGGAGGAGTTGGTGGACCTACGTCGCAGTGCCAAGAAGAAAGCCGACCTGCAGAGCCAAGCTATGTGGATTGGTGCCGGGACACGCTCCACGATGCAGAAGATCCTTACTGGAAGAGGGAGAGGTTGGTGGCTTACGCCGATCAAAGGCACACAAAGGGATCTTTACCTACATCAAGACGATGAAGGAGCCACCACAAGACACCAAGGGCTACAAGAGCAAGACTTCATCGGGCCCCAGTGGACACAGCTGGGACAGCGACCTTTCAGATCGCGACCATTGGGAGAAAGACGAGCAAGACAAGGCAGAGATCGAGAATCGCATGGGCATTCCGGGAGGCAAGAACACAAAGCCCAAGGAGAGCAAGACCGAAGTCGAGATCGCGAACGAACTCTTGAAGGCACAACTCAAGGAGATGCAGGCCACCAATGCAGAGTTGGAGCTTCAAGTGAGTCGTGTGAAGGGCCGGAAGGAGATGTAGATCATGCGGAATTGCTTCCGGAGAGGTTGTCCCGCACGTTGCACAACGAATGGGGCATTCGAAAGAACCTATACAGCAAAACCTGGAAAGGTCTGGTTCATCATGGGAGACCCCTTCTCATGGAAGTTGCCTGTTACCCTGATAGCGTTTTGGGAACCGAGGTTGAAAGACGTTTTGGTTCAGGCAGTTGTCTTCGACTCTCAGAGTGGAATGGTGGCAACCTCGAAACACCGGAAGGCATTGATCTCATTCTGAAGATCAAGAGATCTCGCCCTATCAAGCTTTGAAAAGGTGTCGACAGCTGGCTGCACAGAGGGTTTGAAGACCAAAGACCAGACCAAGTTGTTGTGCAAGGCGTGGACAGTTGCTACAAATATGAATTTGCATTGTCAGCAAAACCATGCAAAAGGTCGTTGCGAAGCCAGGGAAACCTCACATACAGCACAGTACACAACAGCATTCGCTCGTCGAGTTGTGGATTGTTTTTGTGAATCAGAAGGTTGGGGGGCACATACGTCGTTCAAGAGTTGAGACGAACTGTCCCTGAGGATGCATATCCTGTAGTTCCAGGTGATAATGCACTATCAGAGTCAGGTGAACCGCTGGAGATATCACCTGAAGAGCGACATGAGATCGAGCAGAAGATTCAACACATTCACAAAAACAGTGAACATGACAATATGAAGAACCTTATCCAGTCGCTTCGCCTTAGAGGAGTTGCAGAGAAGGTTTTACAGGTAGCAAAACAGTGAAAATGTCCAAGCTGTGCCGAAAAGAAGTTTCGGGATCCAAGATAGTTTGCAACATTGGAGACAGTAGCCGCCAAGTGGGAAGTTTGTCGTCTTCTCCCACCAAGACAGCATCCTGGGAGGATTTCAAAAGATCTTTAGAGGAGCAGTGGTGGCCAATTTTTGGGAAACCCAAGACAGTTCGTGTTGACCCAGCAGATCCCAGCAGCATGGCTGAGTGGACAGCCTGATGATTATATCAACAATCGAGACATTTTGTTGGATCACATTCCTGGTGATGTACATTGGCAGCTGAGTATTGTAGAGGGAACAATCCGAACATTGAAACGCGTGTTGTCCACACTAGCAGGGAATTGTTAGCACGTGCAACTTGGGTACTGAACACCAGAGAATGTTACAAGGGCTACAGTCCAATGCAGCATGCACTTGGCAAATCACCAAATGAGTGCGACAGAATGTTCGAGGCTCGTGAGTCCGTGTCAATTCGTCCAGAACTGTTGCAAGATGGAGGCTTTCAAGAAGATACCAAGATCCGTCTTTGTGCA